CTGTGGTACAGTAGACTGAGGGGCCTCTGGGCATTCCCAACCTTAAAGTCTTAATATGTGATTTTTCACACTTAAATGTAGAAATCAAGTATCTCCTCTGAAAATAACTCTGTGAGTCATGACTGTCTACAATGGGTGTAACACCCGAGTCCCACTGTCTGTGATGTTTTCACAGTTTTCAGAGTCCTATCTTCACTTTGTTTACATCGTCAGGACGGCCGGCTGACTCCTCCCCTCGTGTATAAAAGTTGTTTAATTGAGGGACTAGAGAAAAGAAGAATAACATACTGTACTCACTGCTTAACTGTGTTTCTAGATCACGCTCATTTCAGGTAAATTTACATGCAGTGTGAAGATACCAGCAGAATAAAGAGCGCTAGCATTAGCATGCTAACACAACAATGCAGCGCCAGTTGTTTTGGTTTCATGCTGGAGCTCAAGGGCGACATCTGCTGGATCAAAAAATCATATATACTGATACTGAGGACATAAAGTTATTAGGATGTGTTTAAGATAGATCCACTGGAAACCACTTTGGAGAAGTCTCAAAGTAATGCAAACTTTTCTGAGTACATCAACGGCAAATTTAGTTTCAAGCGACAGCGCTGAAGTCCAAAAGTGGAAAATTGTACAAAAGGTTTGTTATTATCTTATAGATACTGGTTTATTTTAATTTATGAATAAGGGATGACGTGAGTTTACCGAGCCACAGTTTGGTCCAGGCCTTTGGTCAGAGGGACGGCCTGCAGGAGCGCCTCCAACACGGTGAGCTCGTCTGTCTCCGTCTCACCTGGAAACAGAACGACAGGTGAGACTCAAGAGAAAAATTAATTCAACAGTTACATTATTTGATTGTCACAAAATGTCCAAACGTGTTCTGACCTGAGCTGCAGGTGAACACCGCTTGGACCAGGTGAGGCAGCAGGTAGCGCAGCAGAGGAGTGACGTCATGAGTCGCCGCCATGACCTGGAGCGTGGAGACGAGCGCGGGCATGGAGCTGAGCCGGCTGAACGCTCTGAGGAGGAAGAGAAACAGTCAGGTGATGAAGGTTACACCTGAAGGGGGCGTGTCTAAAGAGGATCAGTCAGGTAAGCAGGGGCGTGTTCAGAGGATCAGTCGGGTAATGAAGGTTACACCTGCGTGTTTTGAGGGCGGGCTTACCTGGGCCCGGTGGCATCCTCCTTCTGGTTCTGCAGCAGCACCACGAGGCAGCCGAGCCCCTCTGGAGCGAGTACGGGCTCTTTGAGCAGAGACCTGCTGACGTGCACGGCGAGTGTATCGACCAGACTCGCCTCCATGACCACCTTCACGGCCAGCTGACACACGATCATGTAGGTCGCCGCTTTGTAGTCGCTCAGAGACGACTTCAGACCCTGCAGAGCCGACATGAATCAATCAACTAAACTCAGCCTGAGATCTCTAAATGTTCTGATGAACAGGTGAGCAGGAGGTTTTTTTTACCTTCTGAACGTAAGGCAGCAGTTTGGAGATGATGGCGTCGGACACTTTGTCCACAGCGTCCAGAGCGGGGACGATGGTGGAGGCGTAGAACGAGAAGATCACTCTGAGCTGGGAGCAACTTCCTGAGCGGCCCGAATACGCCTGAAGAAGAAGATGCAAATCATCAACTTTTTGGGATAATGTCCAAGAGGAAAGGTTAAACATGAGTCCTTGATGACAGAATGAAGATGTCTTCCTTCCTTTACCTGGATGGCCTTGGTGACCATGGTGCAGATGAAGTCCATGAAGCTCAGGTCTGAGTAGCAGTGAGTGATCAGAGCTCCTCTGGACAGCGGCACGCCTGGTTTCTGAACGAGCAACAGCACAGAGTTTACAGGAAGAACAATCCAATTTTTACAAGATCACAGGAGAACTACAAGATCACAGGAGAACTACAAGATCACAGGAGAACTACAAGATCAAGATCACAGGAGAACTACAAGATCACAAGAGAACTACAAGATCACAGGAGAACTACAAGATCACAAGAGAACTACAAGATCACAGGAGAACTACAAGATCACAAGAGAACTACAAGATCACAGGAGAACTACAAGATCACAAAAGAACTACAAGATCACAAGAGAACTACAAGATCACAGGAGAACTACAAGATCACAGGAGAACTACAAGATCAAGATCACAAGAGAACTACAAGATCACAAGAGAACTACAAGATCACAGGAGAACTACAAGATCACAAGAGAACTACAAGATCACAGGAGAACTACAAGATCACAAAAGAACTACAAGATCACAAGAGAACTACAAGATCACAGGAGAACTACAAGATCACAGGAGAACTACAAGATCACAAGAGAACTACAAGATCACAAGAGAACTACAAGATCACAGGAGAACTACAAGATCCCAAGAGAACTACAAGATCACAGGAGAACTACAAGATCATAAAGAGGAAAGTGTGTCTATGTGGGGGTGTATGAGGAGTGGCATGGGCCGTGGGTTCAGACCTGCAGGCAGTGCAGCCAGCTCCAGCGGTTTGTGGCGTCTTTGATCTTGAGGAGCTGCAGGACTCTGACGAACACGTTGGTGTCGTGATACGGCAACACGCAGGCCAGCAGGCTGTCCACGTTATACAGCTGGATGTGGAAACTGTAACAACAAGAAGAAACATCTGATACTCAGTCAGAGAAGAGAGAGAGAGAGAGAGAGAGAGAGAGAGAGAGAGAGGAGAGAGACAGAGAGAGAGAAGGGGAGAGAGAGACAGAGAGAGAGAGACAGAGAGAGAGAGAGAGAGAGAGAGAGAGAGAAGACAGAGAGAGAGAAGAGAGAGAGAGAGAGAGACAGAGAGAGAAGAGAGAGAGAGACAGAGAGAGAGAGAGACAGAGAGAGACAGAGAAGAGAGAGAGAGAGAGAGAGAGAGAGAGAGAGCTCACCGGTGAACCCACTCGATGCACTTGTGAGCGGTTTGAGGAGGAAGTACGGGGAGAGGCGGGTGAGGAAGAGCGAGATTCCAGCGTCCAGCTTCTCGTTGACTCTTTGGATTGGACGCTGCGCTCCAGGGTCAGCGACGCTGGGCTGAAAGGGTGTCCTGAAACTCCAGAAAGGCTGGTTCAATTCCAGCAGCTCCTCCAGCCCTGTGCAGCCTGGGGGGGGGGGGGGGTAGTCAGGATACCAGAATTATAAACTTTAATATAACACTAGTAAAAAATTAAGCAGATTGTTACACGGCAACAAAACCAAAGGTCTAGACGCCCAATATCGGGTAATGTATTGTTTTTAATAATCAAATAGAAATGAGAGTCACTTGAGACTATGACGGACTCACGAGGGCGTAGAAGGTGCTTTGTCCATGGACGCAGCATCTTTGGGGTCGAAGAGCAGCGAGGCGACTCTCTGCGAGTCAGCAGGTTTGGGGTCGCTCTGAGGCAGCGCGAGCCTCTTCAGCTGGTGAGCCAATGACGTCATGA